TGTGTGTGTGTGTGTGTGTGTGTGTGTGTGTGTGTGTGCGTGTGCGTGCGTGTGTGTGTGTGTGTGTGTGCGTGTGTGTGTGTGTAGCGCGCTACGCCACACGGATGATCATGCGGCGGGGAGAGAAACGCTGTGCTGCCATCTAGTGCAGAGACGCGACACTATTCGACGCGTGTCGTGTAGCCTCTCTATATTGCCTCTTCTGTCGTTAAACCGTTGGTCAGCTCATCAACAATGTGATGTTTGCTTTCAAGGTACGGTCAAATATTGCCCCAGAGATTGCTGTAAACGCCCGCGAGCCACGGCAAACTGTGAATGTTGACACTCGCCATATATATGTATATTTAGCCACAAGTGTGTGTGCGCGTGCGTGCGTGCGTGTGTGTGTGTACGTACGCGCGCGCGTGCGTGCGTGCATGCGCGTGTGTGCGTGCATGCGCGTGTGTGCGTGCATGCGCGTGTGTACGTGCATAGTGTCCGCGTAGTGTGTGCACGCGCGCATGTGTATATACACTCGCACATGTACCCAGTACTAGCGGTGTTGTGTAGGCCTACACAGTCAGAGAGCAGCCAGCCTAAACAGAACAGACTCTCTCACACAGCGCGCACGTTTTCCCGTCATTTTAACCGCTATGAAACATGCACGTCACGTAAAATCACCAACAGGGAAATCATGGACGCTTCAGCAGTTCTATTACAATAGCGTTGCGAAACTAATCGCTAATTCAATTGTTAATTGGTTAATTGTGAAACAGTTCGATTGTTTATCACATCGTTTGTTCACATCGAACAGATGAGCAAAATATGAAGTATTACTTTTTGTGAAAAAGTGGACATGATTTTTTTACTTTTACTATTTACGGTTACGTAATCACTTTAAACTCGGGTTTTCTTTGTGGGTAACGCTGGGGTCTGTTTAGGTTAATGATTTCGAACAATCTTCCCGACCTTTTTCGTATTTGTCCGCATCGTTTTATATCGAATTAAATCACACAGTCCTTATCAGACTACTGTGCCAGTAGTCTTTCTTCATCTTGTATGGTCCCCCCAAAAAAAATTACTTTTATTATCACTATTATCAACGCTATCTGAACATAAATTTAAGGGGGTCAGAACATATTCTTAACCCCCTTCTCACCTGAATTCCTCCCTTTGATTCTCCACCTCCCACGAATACATTGAAATCTGCGGATCCGAGGAAAATTCTCATCCTTAAGAGCGAGAGCAGGGGAGGGTGGGCGAGAGCGGGAGAGTGTGGGCGACAGTGGGGGAGAGCGAGGGGGGAGCGGGGGAGGCAGGGGAGGGCGGGGGAAAGAGGGGGAGGGCGAGGGAGGGAGGGAGAAGGCGGGGGATGCGGAGAAAGCGGGGAAGCAGGGGAAGGGCGGGGAGGGGAGGGGGAGGGCGGGGAGCAAGGAGGGCGGGCGACAGCCAGGGGAGGCTCAGGGAAGGGCCGGGGGGAGGCAAGGGGTGGGGGCCGGGAAACAGAGGGGAAGTGCGGGGAGCAGGAGAAAGCAGGGGAGCCAGGCGGAAGGCGGGGGAGCAGGGGAAGGGGTGACGGGGGGCAGGGGAAGCGAGGGAGGAGGGAGAAGCCGGAGCATACAGACAAGGGGAGAGCGGGGAACGGCAGGGAGAACGGGCGGGGAGCACGAGAGGGCGAGAGTGTAGAAGAATCAGTGAGCATAAGTCCGTAATACAGCTGCTATGCTCGCATACCAGCAAAATAGAACAGCACAATGTGTGAGGTGAACACGCAGTTGCATGAATATATTCGTCACGTATTTGCTCAGCATTCATGAACACAAGCATCGATAATGATGACGCTTCTACTATTTCTAACCCCTTCTGCTAGAGTTCTAATGGCCTGAATACAGGGACACAACACCCGACGCACAGAGCCTGCACCGCACGCCCGCACACACGGGACGCACGGGCCACGCACAGGCGCGCAACACACACACCCACACACCCTCCGCAGCGCGCACGAACCACACACCCGCACCACACGCGCGTGCGCAGCCACACACCGCACGCACACACACACAGACACACACACGCACGCACACGACACGCACAGGCCACGCACGACACACACACGACGCAACGCACGCGCCCACGTGCACACACACACACACGGCCACCGCACGCACACACACCCACTACCAGACCGCCGGCAGGCAATTTTCACTCCTGCCTCCACGCGCAAGTCCAAACCCTCTGCTAAGCACGCCAGCCTCCCTCCTCCCATCTCTCCCTCCCGCCGTTGGCTAAATGCGCTAATTGAAAGCGGGCCACCAATCCGCCACTTCATAATCATCTAATCAATCATCATCAATCATTCACGCATCATGCATCTACAATCATGCATCATCAATCATTCATCAGTCCATGCCATCATCATCATCATCAGAGCGCGATGACGACGACACAAATCGTCACGCCAAAAGCGGACCGCACGCGATGCGCGCGCGCAGCACACGACACACACATCACCCCACACACACACGCTACAGCACGCACACACAACAATGCCGCC